TGCTTTTTTCTTTAGAGTTATTTAGAAAGGTTCTAGTTAATCGCTAAGAACTACGCGTAATGGTGTTAGAAATAACACCATAAAAAAAAGGTAGGAGGAAACAATCTTTGCTCGTGATTAATCTACTATCGCTCTCTATGTTCCAAAGTGCCGAATATTACAAGTAATATTAAGCTTAATTCGCTTCATATGTTACACAATTTTCGTAATTAGTCTTAAATAATTTGAATTGAAGATTTTGTTTATGCAAAATCTAATTTTAAAACAGTAGTGAACAAAGGAATGACAATTTTTAACTATTAAAAAAGTACTATTACTATAAATATAACTTTTTGCTTATAATTTAAAGTAAATAATGGAATTCTCCACTGGTTTAAGTATATCATTTACTTTAGCTTAAGTAATAAAAATAGAGTTATTACATATTGCTCTAGTTTTGCTATAAGAATTGTTTTTTCTTTTAGTGTAAGTTTTTGTCTACTTCAAATTTTAGTTTTATGTATCTGTGAGTTTTGTGAGTTTTTATAACTAGAAATATGGAATTTACTTAGTATTGTTGTTAAAGTTGCCATTTATTGAGTTTAATTTTGATCATCTCTAAATTTTAAATTTTATAATTGTGTGAGTTTTTATAAGTTAAATAAAATATTAAGTTTTTTTGCTTTTAAGATTACAAATAATTTAGTTTACGGGCTGATCTTAGCGTTTCAGAATTTAAAAATATTAGCTTTTTTAGCTAAAATCAAAACAAATTTGCTTTAGTTTTGCTAATAGAATAACTATTAAAATTAGTTAAACTTTATTTTTACTTTAACTTATAGCGTTTATAAATATGCGAGTATGTATAGCTAAAAGTTATTTAAAGTTGCTTTAGTTTTGCATATAGAATTACTATAAATTTAGTTGAAGTTTTGTTCAATTTATAATTTATAGTTTATAGATAAGCGAAGCCAAAAGTTAACCTAAATTGCTTTGGTTTTGATTATAGTATTACTATTATATTTAGTTAAACATTTGAATTTATTGAGTTTTTATTGCTAAAATCAGTAACTTTCCTACAGTTTTGTTCATAGCAATGCTATCTTTTGGCCCCCGCAAAATGACCACAACCGTAATAACAAACTTTTTACTTTTAACTAAAAGCTCTTATTTAACGTATTATACTTGAAAACTTTTCTTTTTAAAAAGTAGGGCTTTTGGATAGTTGATTTTTCTCAGAATTATTTAGACCGAAAACAGTTATTATAGGTATTAAATTCCCCTTTTAAATGGGGATTTCTCCTTCAGAATTAAAAAAACAATTAAAAAGGAAATATAGAGAGCGGCCAAAGCGGGAGGTGATTTTTAATTTTATTAAAATAAAAATTTACTGAAAAATACATTGACTTTATTTATTTAGTTTTTTCAAGAATTCAAGTATTATTTGTACAAGATGTAATAAAAATATATAAATGTAAACTAATTTAATGTGTATACTTCGAAATCAAAATCTTCAGGTACCTTCCACGCCCGTAATTAGCTACAAGAAACGTAATCTTTTATATAATCCCAAAGGTTTTTATTAAATACTTCTAAAAGTTGTTTATATTACGTAAAAAGTGGTTGCTGTCAATTTTTTATAAACATTAAAAATTTACAAAGCTGAGTTAATTTATTTTATCATGTTTATAGACTTGTTAACCTTTTTGTTACTAATTAAGTAATTTTTAAGTAATTTAAGTAAAAATACTCTTTTTATTTTTTATATGAATTTTCTAAATTTACTTTTTATTATATAATATAATCACTTTTTATATATTATTTAAATTTTTTTAATTATTATTCTAAACTTTTATTTATTGATTTAACATTCAGTTGTTGCCTTTTCATAATTTTCTAAATCGTATTTTGTTTTAATCTTTTATAACTTTTGAATCTAATATATTATATAAATCATTTATAATTTGAATTTATAAATATTTTATTATTTTTTTAAATAGTTATGTTGAAATTAATTTAATATTTGTATTTCTAGAATCTAAAACATGTTTCGATCATGAACACAACAATAGTTTTAACATTTTTGGGGTTTCCAGCTCTTCTGGCGATCCGCCATTTCGCTTTCCTTTGCTTTCTGATGAACCGAATGAAAATTTAAATAATAATAATAATAGTGATAATAACGATAAATTAACTTATTGCCTCGAAGAAAATAATTATAACTCTACGATTCTTAAAGTAATTCAATACTACCATTTTTTTATCTTATGAAAATAGTTTTTAATGAATCATTTTTAATTATTCAATATTTATTTAAAAAAATTAATTTAATTTTATATTCTAGAGTGATTTATTAAATTACTTTGATTTTCTTTATGAGCATTAACCTTTTTGCATCCATAAAAAGTTTTCAAAACTTTCTGATTTTCTGATTTTTATTCATTCTCATTTATTATTAAAAAGTTTTATAAAGTATCACTTTATTTTTTTAATAAAAATTTAGTATTATTAATGATAATTTTTTAACTTTTTTTTAAATGTAACTGTACTGATCTTAAAAAGTATTTCGATACTTTTTGTAATTTAAACTTTTAATTTTATTAAATTTCTTATAAAAAATATATTTGTTGATTTATTTATTATAATTTTTTAGGAAAAATTAAATTATTTCTAAACTTTTTATAATTTTGTAAGATATATTAAAGGACTTTGAATTTCTTTCTATACTTTAACTTTTTGCAAATATTAATGTTTTTAGTATTTTTTATTATATTATTAACAGTATTATGTGGTAGTATATATTTTATTAATTAATTTTTTTTAATATATTATTTTTTACTTTTTTACTTTTTAAGATTGTCACTGAACTATTCTTAAAGTAATTCTTTACTTAGTTTACACAAAAATTTAATTTTTCTTTAATTTCTCATAAAAAATATATTAAATTTTATTTTTTATTTATTAATATATTTTTAAAAGAAATTTATATTTATAAACTTTTGTGATTTTGAATAATTATATATATAACTTGGACCTTTATGCTTTAACTTTTTGCATAATTTAAGTAGTTTATAGTACTTTCTATTATTATTTTATATATATCCTTTTATTATCAAAAAAGTTTATAACTTATAATTATTAGTTTTACTTTATTTTATTTTTTTAATATAAATTATTATTATTATTGCTTTAGAATTTTTAACTTTTATTATATATTTTACTATTTTTTTTTTATATAAAAAGTTTATGATTTTGTATAATTATTTTTTATATTTATTATTTATAAATATAATTGTTATTTTTTGATTTTTTAATTTTCATTATATTTTTCTATATTACTTTTTTATTTTTAAAACTCATTATAAATTTTTATATTATTTTTATTATAATACTGTATTCTTTATGGCTTTATATTATACAAGTGTATTATCTTTTTTTATTGAATATATAATTATTATATTTTTTTATATTTATTACGTTTTTATATATTTTTATAATATTTTTATTTATTTATTACATTTTTTTATAGCTTTATATTATTATAATATTAGATTTATTATAAAAGTATTTATTTATTTTTATTATTTATATATTATTTTTATAATTATAAAATATTTTTTATACTTTATATTATTATTTAATAGTTTTTCTATAGAAGATTTTTTTTATTATTATTGTATAAAACCATAATTATATTTCTTTTAACTTTTATTATATATATTTTTTATATAGTTTTATTATGCCTTCATATGCTTTTTTATAGTTGTTATAAAAAATAATTTTTTTTTATTTAATATATAATTATTTTATCTTTTTAACTTTAGATATATATTTTAATATTATTTTTATTAATTTATCATTTTTATGGCTTTTTATTATTATTTATTATTTTATTTCTATTATTTAAATATAGTTATTATTTTAAAGGTTTCTTACTTTCATTTAATGATTTTATATTGTTTTTGTTACTTTATTATATTTTTTATGACTTTATATAATTATCTATAATAATTATTATGAAAGTACTTTATTTCCGTTTTAATTTTTTATATTGTTAACTTTTTTTATAAATTTATATATTATTTATATTATTCTATTATATTTTTTATGACTTTTTATAATTATTTTTATTATACTTATTATAAAAGTATTTTTTTTAAGACTTCATATTATTTATTATAATTACAAAAAATTTTTTTATCTTTTATATATAATGATTATTATAACTTATATTAATATGCTCTTTTATTTTTATTTTATTATTTATTATATTTTTATTACGTTATTATTTAATAACTTTTATTATATATTTTTATATTATTTTATAATTTTAATATAATGTATAACTTTTTATTACTATTTATTGTATTTCTTAAATTAATATATTATTTATAAATTTAATATTTTATTATGTATTTATATATTATTATAAACTATTTCGTATATTTGTTATTTATTATTTATATGTTAAAGATGGCAAATATTTTATTTATATTCTATTTATATTTTTAGTTAAATATACAAACTTATTATTATTGTTATAAGAATTTGTTTTATTTATTTATATATTTCATTATATATTTATATAATATTCTATTGAATAAACTTATTATTATTATTATTTTGTAAAATTTATATATTTATTATGTTACTTACATATTTCATATTTTTTTAATTATTTTATATATAAAATTTATTATTATCACTTTTTACTTTTTTAGAAAAATATTTTTAATTATTAAAATATTTATATATATTTAGTATTTTTTTTAATAAAAAACTTTAAAATTATAATAATTACTCAAAAGTTTTTTTATATTATAAATAAAAGTTTATAAAATATACGAAAACTTTTTAACTTTTTTTAAAACTTTTAGACTCCAGAAAAAAAGCCGTTTTCTATAAAAAAGTAATATTTATTATTATTGATATTATTATTACTAATATTGTTATTATTATTATTATCACTATTACTATTATTATTATTGTTATTATTACTATATATTTTTTAAAACTCTTAGTTCTTTTACTGATACTTTGAATGGATCGCAGAAACTTCCAAGTTTGTATCACAATTTACAGAATCAGTTTGACTTTGTGAGTTTCTTATAATAATAATAATAATAATAATAATAATAATAATAATAATAATAATAATAATAATAATAATAATAATAATAATAATAATAATAATAATAATGAAATAAAAACTACTGCTTATCAATAATAAAAAATATAATTATTTAATTTAAGACTATTTATTAACTATTAAAATCATTGGCTACTGGGTATCATTATTTAAAAGTGTTATAAACGTTGTGACTTTTACTATAATAATAATATATAATAATAATAATAATATTTTATTAAGACTTCTAGCCCGACTCGAAGCGATCACGACTGTCTCGATGATTTTATTGATCGAGCTCTGCAGTTTCGACTGGCGACGCCTCAAAAGTTTATTTCTACTGGCGCTTCCCTCCATCAATTTGTTATTATTTTTATTAATATTATTATTTATTATTATTATTTAATAATATGAAACTTAAAATTTATATAAAAACTAATAATTATTATTAATATAACAATTATATTAAGCCTGTTCGTCTTTTATTAACTTGCCTTATTTTATAATATATAAAAAGTTTATAAATATACCCTCGTTCAATATTATTTCGGTAAGTTTAGCTTAAGCTCTTTTTACTGTAGTTTGTAATATAGGAATTGTCTCCTTACTAAAGCCCTAACTACGTGGTTACCACGCGATGATTTGTTTTCAATTATTTATACGAATGTTGGGGCGTTTTTCGAAGCGTTTAAGTGATTAAAAAGTCAAGTTAGTTGTAGAACTTTACCTTTTTTACGTTTTCTTCGAGGTTATTCTCTAAGAACAAACAAGCACGTATTATAACCTAGAGTTTTTACATTCGTTGACGAGCTTTGTTAAGAACGTCCTAGTTAAGTGTCTTTCTTTAAACTCGCAGCACGTGCAATCTTTCCTTCAATGGCGATCAGACCCATACGACGTCGTCCAAAAATGTACATTCTTGGACGGAGTGAGGGAAAAATAAGTGTCTCTATCCCTTATTTATAGGAAAGCGTAAACTATCAATCGATAAAGAAAATGATGGAAAAGTGTCTTATAGATCGCACGTGCTTGTGGTGGTAGTCGTCTTTGCACGGGACCTGGGCGTCCAACGATTTTGAAAAAGCGGGGTGCAACTCTACTTTACAACCCGTGGCATAGGGTGCGAACGAATCTGCATGAAAAGCTTAAAACTCATAGTGACAAGATTCGATAGACCGGTTTTAAGATGGAAAGCACAACCTTCTGCTGGGCTTCATGCGAAATAAAACGTCACAACCGACTAAGCTTTGAGTTTGCGAAAAAGTACGGAATAGTCCTTTTCGGACGAGCCCGAGACCAATTTACGGTTCAGATGGGTTCAAATGCTGTTGGAAGCGATCATAATGTGGTGCAGACGTAAAAATATGGAGAAAAATGATTAGGATTTGGTCCTGTAAAACATCTAAAAGGGTTGGATATTTGGAAAAGGTGACTGGAAGCATCACCGCAAGCACGTGTTTAAACACTATTTAAACTGACGCGCCCAAAACATACGACTCGGGTTGTCCTCGCTCTTTACGGACTGGTGCCTGACACTTTGCTCTATTTGTACGATCATGGTTCCAATGCCTCTTGTCTCCGGTGCTACCCTGGTCCTCGCCAGGAACTCGAGCTTATAGGGATCAGCTTCTTCTAACTTGCACGAGTTTTGAACACGTGAACAATCCGAATGAATACATATTACACAGAACAATACTAGATTCTGCTTGCCTGCTGGCCAATGAGGATGCAAGTTGTGCGGGGCCGAAGGGGGCTATACTCACTAGGAAAAACTCTCTCAACTTCACAAACTACTCTTTTAATATTAAGCTTATGTAAGAGCAAGTATTATCAGACTACACCCGGAGCATGGGAGTGTACTGTGTGTAACTTTTAAAGGGATCCATAAAGTTACTGAAGAGTTATACTATACTAAATAAAAAAATGCAAAGCATTGAAACAGTTTTGAACGATAGTGTACAATAATAATAATAATAATAATAATAATAATAATAATAATAATAATAATAATAATAATAATAATAATCAAATAAAACTAGCTTGAATTTCAGCACTTCCCATTGGATTGGTCTTTGAAAAAGAAAGTTATTTTTTCAAGTTTTGAGCCATTTAATTGGTGCATTTCTTTTAAAGGCCATTCTTTTACTGATGTATTATTTATTTAATTTATTTATTTATTTATTTATTTATTTATTTATTTATTTATTTATTTATTTATTTATTTATTTATTTATTTATTTATTTATTTATTTATTTATTATTATTATTATTATTATTATTATTACTTGTAGTACCTTGGCTTATCCTCATTTGTGAGTAATTCTTATTCTGAAGTATCAATTTCTGAAATGAAATCTCTTTCTCAACTAAAAAAAGTTTATTAATTATTAATTACTATAAAAACTTTTTTTTGAAGAAAATTCATTAGTAAACTTTTATTATTAGGATTTTATTTACTCTAAATTTTTATATTTTTTTTAAAAACTTTTTTTTTAGTATAAAAAAAAATTTTTTTAAATAATATTAATATTAGACTTTTATATTTTATTATATATATTTATTATACACCAACTTTTAATATTTAACCTTTTTTATTTTATATTAAACTTTTTCTTTTTTTTTTACTTCTATAATAAAACTTTTTAATTAATTTTTTTTATTCCGAAAATATTTTTATTCAAAACTTTTTTTTATTATAAAATTTATCATATAAACTTTATATTTATAACTTCTTTCATGATTTTTTTATTTATTAAACTTTTTTATTTCAATAAAAAACTTTTCTTGTAAGTAAACTTTATTTATTATTATAACTATAATTCCAACTTTTTTACGTTTTATTTAAAATATAGAATACTTTTTAATTTCAACTTTTATATATTTATTATAAATATTTTTATAAAAAAACTTATAATAAAAACCTTTTTTAAACTTTTATTTTATATTACAAAATTTTCTATATTTTATCAAAAACTTTTCAGTTATTTTATTTTTCTTTATAGTAGAAAAAAATTTATATTCATAAAAAGTTTTCCTTTTCACTTATTTATATTTATTAGTATTTTATAATTATAATAAAAGTTTTACCTTTTTAAATAATAATAAATAGAAGACTTTTAAAGGTTTTTCTATAGAAATAATAAAAAGTTGTAAAAAATAAATAAATTTTTTATAGAGTAATAAAAAAAGAAAAGTTTTATTATTATTATTACTATTAATAATAAATCTTTTCATTATTTATGTGGAATTTATAGATATCTTTACTGCAACAAGCGCTTCTTTATTGGACTTACGAATCATTCTATACCTTGAGGAGCGAATCTTTTAATTGTGAATGGTCAACTTTTTAATTTTTATTACTGGTCGGAAATCAAATTATTTGTTGGGGTCTTTCCTTCATTAAAATAGTTTTATAAAAAAATAAAAATTATATTATTATTGCCACTACTTTAATTGTAGGTGACCAGTTTTTTTTATTGGTCAGAAAACAAATTATTTGTTGTGGTCTTCTATAATAATGTATTTTTTAAACGTAATAATTGTAACAATTTTGATTAGTTAACATTAGTTTGGCACAATCTTTTACTTGTAGGAGGTCAATTTTTATTTAATATTTTTAATTGGTCATAAATTAAGTTTGCGGAGTTTTATTTATTAGTTTATATATAAACTAGGAAAAAAAACCAAATATGTTTGTTTATTTTTAATTTTTGTATGGTCAAATTTTTTTATTGGTTAGAAAACAAATTATTTGTTGGGGTCATAATTTTTTAAATAAATGAAATCGTATTATGGTGACTGGTTAGTACAAATTTTGAGCAAAAGCTTTATATATATACTTTTTAATATATATTTTTGCTGCAATAATATTATACTTTTTATCTATATAATTCATTAAAATTGATGAATTTTTTAACATTTGCATTGTTCAATAAATTATTGACTAGGCGAACCCCTCTTTGATCAAATTGAATTCCTCCCTTTTGTCTACTTTTATAATGCCAATAATTTTTTTTTATTTATAAAAAGTATTTATTATTATTTGATATTTATTGAGTGTTCGAAATTTTTTTATTTTTATTGAAAATTTTTAATAAATTTCAATAATTTCAGTAACAAAATATCTTTTTAAGTGAATCACCTTATTTAACATTAATAAAATTTTCATGTTAATATTCTCCGCCAAAAGAAATTTGCAGTATTTCATTGTCTTTTCGGAGTTACCTTATTTTAATTTTTTTTAATGTTGCATTTTTGTAATAAAAATTTCTGTTTTTATTTCTTTCCTAAAAATTTTAGCCAACCCACTGATTTCATTTTATATTTTACAAATAGAATGAATATTTTTTTTTAAAAAAAATTTTAAAGCTTTTTGTATAAAATAAACTAAAAAATAATATTTGCATAATTTTTCATTTTGGTATTGACTGTCTTTCGTTTATACTTAACAATCTTTAGCTATGAGCACTTTTCATATAATTTTATATAAGTAAAATTAACTTTTTATTTTTTTTTAAACTTTTCATTACTTTTTTTGCTAATAATGCAGGACCCAAACATTGACTTCACTATTTCAAGCGCTGATTCAAAATTTGTGCCCTTATTTTTACTTAATAACAGAAGTATTAATATTTACTGTAATTAAAAGATATTTCTATACTTGTTTTACTTATAAGAAAAAAGTTTCCTATAATTTTTTTATTTGAATAACATTTAAAGTTTTATTTTTTATTCTTTTTTTAATTTTTATAAATATTTAAAATTTTATTTTTCTTTTTGAAAGTTTATTATTAAAAATTTAAAAATAATAATTTTTTTTTATATTTAAAAAATATATTTTATTTTTTATTTTATTTAAACTTTATTATATTTTTTATTTTTTATATATTATTTGTTTATTATCTTTATTATATTGAAGTAAAGTTTTATTTTTATTTATTTTTATTTAAAAATATTAAGTATTATTACTTATATTTTTTGTATTCTATTTTAAAAAGTTTTTGATTTATTATTTATATACTTTTTTTATGTATAAAAAGTTTTTATATTTCCTTTTTATTATATTTAATAAAATTTAGTATTTTTTATTTATATTTTTCAAAAGTTTCTAATATTTTCTATTTTTATTTTTATTTTTTTAAAGTAAAAGGCTTTCGACTAATTATTTTTTAAACTCTTTTTATATATACAAAGTCTTTATTAATATAGTCTCAAAAATATTTTCATATTTACTTTTTATTTTTTATATCTCTTGTTATTACTATCCATTTTTTTATTAACTTTTTTCATATACACTGAAGAAGATTATTTTTATTTATTATACTAAAAAAAATATTTTAAATATATTTTCTTATGGAATGCTTTTTTATGTAAATCACTAAAAGTTATATTTTTTTTATGTTTATTATAACTTTTTGTTGATATTTTCAGGAAAGTTATTAAGTTATATATTAGTATATTCTTATTTTAATATTTTTTAAAAAATATACTAAAAACTTTTTTTTTATTTATTAGTATAAATTATATATATATATTCAATAATTCTTATGAATATACTTTTTATTATTTTTTGTAAATTTGGTAAAAATTTTTTATATTCAGAAATTTTCCGCATTATTTGTTGGGGAGATCTTCAGCAAAAATAATGAAATTGAAGCCCGAGTGAGCCACTCCACTAAAAAGTTTAGAAGTTTTTTTGAAGGTTTTTATTTGTTTATTATTTTTTCTCAATATTAAAATATTTTCATTATAATTTTAAATTTTCTCATTATTTATTATTATAAAATTATGAAATAATTTTATTAATTTTTTATAGCCTCAAAAAAATTATTACATTATTTTTTAAAGTTATTTGGTTCATGAAATATTATGAATTTTATTATATTATCATTTATATAAAATAAGACTAAACATAATAATAATAGAATATAAAGTATTTTTATCTTTTTTATAAAAACATTTAATTTTGTTATTCATATAAAATAATGAATTTTTTTAGCATATAAAAAAATTATTTTCATTATAATTATTTTATTATTAGTTATATAAAGTAATAAATTTTCCTTTAGTTTAATCAAATATTATTAGTTTTAATATTCATATAAATAATGAAATTTTTTTAGCTTAAAGAAATTTTGGAAATGAAATTTATAAGAAAAATTATTAGTTTCACTATTATTTATGTAAAAAAAATGAAATAATTTATAGCCAAATTTTTTTTACATAATATATTAAAATAAAAGATTTATAAATATAACATATTTTTAGTTCATTACTAATTATTTATAATAATGAATTTTTTGGCGTATTAAAAAATATCAGGAATAATTATGAAAAAAAAATCATTTATAAATAGTATTAGTTTCATTATTGTTCATTTAAAAAACTGAATCTTTTTTGGTGTTTAAAAATTTTTCTAAAAAAAGATAAGAAAAAAATAATTATTTATAAAAATTATTAGTTTCATTATTATTCATATAAAATATTGGATATTTCTAACGTAAAAAAATAATAATAATATAAAAAAATATTATTTATAAAAAGGATTAGGTTCATTATTATGCCGTTGAAATAATGAATCTTTTTGGGGGTAAAATATTTTTAGAAAAAAATATTAAGAAAACTAAATTATTTATAAAATTCATTGATTAAATAATGAATCCTTTTCAGCATATAAAATTTTTTAAATATGAAAATGTTAAGAAATTATAATTATTTAAAGAAATTATTAATTTTATTATTAATTAAAATAAAGAATTTTTTTATTGCAAATTTTTTTAAAAAAAAATTATTAAGAAATAAATTTATTTACTTATATTGTTAGTATTTTATTATTCATAAAAAATAATGAATTCTTTTTAGCATTAAAAAATATTTAAAAGAAACATTAAAAAAATATTTATAAATATTATAGTTGTATTACTGTCAATTCAAATAATGAATTTTTATGTAAAAATTTTTTTAAAAAGTAAAAATAATAGAAAAAAAATTTTTATCAATATTATTAGTTTCATTATTCATAAAGTAAATGAATTATTTTAATGAAAATTTAACTAAAAAATTAATTAGAAAAATTATAAATTTTAATATTATTTATATTAAATAATGAAATGTTTTTTTACTAGAATATTTGATTGAATAAATATTAAGGATAATAAATTATATATAAAAATTATTAGTTTTCATTTAAATAATAAAATTTTTTATAGAGTAAAAAAATATTATAAAAATATTAAAAAAAAAGTTACTTTGAAAAATTATTCTCATAATTACTTATATAAAATAATAAATTATTTTTTAGCATAAAAACTGTTATAAGAAAAACAAAATATTATGAAATAAAAAATATTATTTATTTTTCTTTCTATAAAAATAAGTTTTACTATAAAAGGAAACCAAAAATATTAAAAAAAACAATTTTTATATTATAATTATAAACGTTATGAATAATAATAATAATTTCTTATGATAATTACTATTAATAATATTAATACTATTAAAGAAGTTATAATAACAATTTTAAAACAACAATTAATAATAATAATAGTTTAATAACGACTATGGAATGAGTTATAATAAATACTATTATAAAATAATGACGTTTTTTAGTGTAAAAATTTTTTATTAAAAAATTTTTATACTACTTTTTTATGAATATATCGTTCATTATAATTTTTTCAATAAATTTTTTATAAAAAGTATTTTATGCATGAAAAAACTTTTTAGTGAAAACAAATGTTTTTTTTAATTTATTTTTAATTTTTTTTAAATTTCAAAAGATTCAATGAATTTTTGAAATATTTATTCCTTTTTTTAGCGAAAATGTAAATGTTTTTTTGTTTATGTAATTATTTATATGTTTTAAAACTTCATAACTTTCAGTGAATTTTTCTAATTTAATTTTTTTAGTGAAAAATTTATTAAAAATATATAAATATTATTTTTTCATATTTTTTTGTGAATTTGGAAAAATTAATTCACTGTTTTAAGTTTTTCTGTAAATTTTTATCTATATTAATTATTACCTTTTACATAACTTTCAAAATTTTTTGTGAATTTTTAAAAGCCTTTTCATTGGTTTTAATGGAAAACTGGTTTTATATAAAAATTTTATAATATTTAGTGAAATTTATACCATATTTTTAAAAAGTTATTATTGTTTTCTATTCATATTTCATGCTTTTTTTGGAATTTTTATAATATTGATTCATAATTTTTAAATAATATTCTAAAAATATTTATTCATTATTTTTACTGTAGAATTTATTATTATCATAAGCAAACTTTATATGAATAATTAAAAATATTAAATCATAATATTTATTAACGTTACATAGAAGGTGATTATGAAATGCCATTGGCTACTTCAAGAGTTTATAACTCATTAAATTTAATGAAAAAAACTAATGAAAGTGAAGATGGTGCTAATATTTTTTAGCTTTTAATTATAATAATAATAATTAATAGTAATAAATTAATTTGTTAATATATTTTTTATTAAAACCATAAAATAATGATTTAAAAAATGTTTATAACAAAAATAGTATTATTAAATAAAAAAATAAAAGTTTGTAACAGATTTAAGTTAAAATATTATTATTATATTATCATTATTATTATTACTACTTTTATTTATTGGCTTATTAACGACAGATGTCGAGTTTGATGACAATGATATAAGTGAACATGAGCTCGATATTTTAGTGTACGTTAATAATATTAGTAAAATAATAATTATAAATAATAAATAATGAAAATAAAATAGCAATAATAATGATTATAATTTTACTTATCACAACAATAATACTGTTGACCAATTCCATATCGTAAATTCAGCAGAAAACGGAATAAGCGATCTACTAACGAAACCCCTATAATTTTTCGTGGAGATGGTACGTTTTTATATTTATTATTATTAATATCCATAATTATACTTTTTATATAAGTTACGAAAGAAAAATAAATAATTATAGTGGAAGAAATTAGTAAATAAGTAAATATATTTATTCTAAATATATACTATAAAGTTTTAAGAGAATATATAAAATTGAAGGAGCAATGAAAGCTTCAAATATTTTTTTGTATATAATTTTTTAGTGCTACTTTTATAAGTTTTTTCTTTAATTATTTCTTTATTCTTTTATGTTCAGTTTCTTTACTTTGCAAAATTTTATAATATAGTTTTTATTCTTAATATTTTATCTTTATAAAAAAAGTTTATATAATTTTTATTTAGTAGTATATCCAATATTTGGCCCGGCCCTCCACTTTTTATTAAATATTTATTATAATAAAATATTTTAGAAATATAATAAAACAGTAAAGGGAAAATAACTATTTTTTTATAAAAAGTATATTTTATGAATTCCTAAATTATAATAAAAGTGAAGCTAGAGTAAATTTTTATATATATTTTTTTGAGTATACAGGAAAGCTTGATATTTTTAATCATTACCTATAATTTTTATTTATTTTTAAATAAAATTTTACACTTCTTTTTATATTTACTAATTTATAGAATAAATTTGTTCATATTTAATATTTTATATAAAAAATATGAAAAGTTAACTGTTTATATATTTTATAAAATATAATTTTTTTATTTTTTTTATGAAAGTAGTTATTATCGTTGTTATTTAATATTAATATTAATATTATTTTTAAGGCGTTTACGCGCTGCATGAACGTTTTTTGGATGTCGAGTTCATTAAAAATATTAGTATATCGTTATATTCTCCTGTTGTGTTTCATAATGCAACGCTCAAATCCTCATTGGTTATTATTATTATTTTTACTATGATTATTATTATGATTACTATTATTATTATTATTGTTATTGTTATATTATTTATAATATTCTAATTATTTTTTTTCTATTTTTATGATAATATTTACTATAAATAAACTTATAATAGTTTGTTATATTTTCATATACGCATTTATTATTATAAAGCAATTTTTATTATACCAGTTTACAATGTTATTATGGAAATTTTATTATATACTTTTTTCCAAGTTTATAATTATTATTCTGGTTTATTATTATTGTTGTTATTTAATTTTTTTATATAAATATTTTTTAAAGTTTACTATTCTTTTGTTTGTAACTATCGTCGTTATTTTTTTTAACAATTATAATAAATGTTTATTATCATTATTATTTTGTTTAGGTTTTGTCGTTATTTATTTTTTTATGTAATTATTGTTATTTATTATTTTTATTATTAATTTTTTGTAAAAGTTTATTTTTTAGTATTATTTTGTTTATAATTGTCGTTAATTTTTTTTTATATATAAATATTTCTTTTAAAGTTTATTATTATGATTATTTTTCTTATGATTGTTGTCGTAATTTATTTTATTTTATAAGTTTATTATAAAAGTTTGTTAATATTATTTTTTTGTTTATAATTATTGTCATTATTTAAATTTTAATGGTATAAAATTATTTTTTAAAGTTTATTATTATTGTTGTTTTTATTTATATTATTTGTCGTTTTTTTTAAAAAGTTTATTGTTATGATGACTTTTTAATAATTATTGTTTTATTTTTTTTTAAATTTAAATTTATTATAAAAGTTATTATTTACGAATTTTATTTTTATTTTATGCGCTCAATTAATATTTATTTTTAAGAATAAAAACACTAAAAATTTATATTAATATAAAAAATGTTAGATTGTTTTTTAAAAAATAAAAATTTAAGAAACTTCAAGGTAAGCCTACAAGAAGGGTGCGAAAATTTAAGCGTGCTGGAAAAGGCACATGATAAAGCATTATCTTTAGTGAGGATGAAATTTTTCTTGCCTGTCGAATACACCATTTTTCTTGCACCGCTTTTTATAATATTTAAATAATTTTGGCTGGTCGAGAATGGGCTGTTTTATAGGTTGAAAACTAAATAAACAAAACTTTAACCAATTACTAACACCCTTTTTTTAAACAAAAGCACTAACAAGGTTATTTTCTTAAACTACATGAAATTTATATAAAAGCGTGATTGGTCGAGCTTTGGAGCTTTTAAATATGATTGTCTATTAGTATAAAACGTTCTCTAAACCTATTGGCTTTTTAATATTGACATGTGTGCTAAAGTGATCGTAGTTACCGCCTTTTTTTAACGGTTATTGATTCAGTTAAGATTTTGAAACTTTCTTATTGGTTTAAATAAAATAACAGCCAATGAGTTAGCAAGAATGCCTTTATTTTGTATTCATATACGAGCCAATAAAAATACTTTTAGGTACACTTTCTTTTAAATGGATCTGTTTACGCCTTAAAATTTTTATTAGAACTTTTCGAACTAAATACAATTGGTTTTTACGACTCTTAAGAGTTTTATAATGCCCAATGACACTCAAGTTTTTTACTTCGTTATTATTTTTAGTGAGCAAATTTTATTTTTACAAATTTTTTTAAATTAATTTTTTTTCGTACTAATTCCAAAACTATATTTTTACTTTAATTATCTTTAATTTATTATTTAGAACTTTTTATATTTATTATATTTAATTATTTTATATTTTATGTACACATGACTTTAGTATTAATACATGGAATAATTATTTTTTCTTTGCATATTAAAAATAAAAAAAAACGCTTGTATACCAAAATAGATGACGCGCAACGGCCAGTTAGCCAGTAAAAACGAGTTTCAGGTGGAATTTACGGGGTTATTTCTACCAATCAACTTGTTTAAAGCTTCCCTTTTACTTTCGTATGTTGTAATAACTTAAATTCTTGATTATTTTTTAATAGTCAGATTAAAGCAATTTACAAAAGTTTATTATTAACCAAATTAAATATATAAAAACCAACAAATAAATGCATCCGAATTTATGTTTTTACTTGCTTGTACTTTTAAAAGTAAGTAATACAAAAAAATTTTAATCCACTTCAAGAAATTCTATAACCAAATTTTCTTAAGCCAATATAAACTAATAATTTGGTTTGTTAAAAATTAATTGTGTATTAAAGAATTACTTTAGATTCCGCACTAATTATAAAGTTAAATCGCAGAATTTAAAAGCCTATTTAGTCGACTGAATTTTTTTAGAAAATTATTAAAATTACTCAATATATATATTTTTTAAAAAAATTATCAACGTGGATAAGAGAGTTAACAAAGAAATAGAATTATAAACTAATTTACTTTTCTTAATAAGAAAAACTTTAGTAACTTACAAAAATAACAAATAATTCTTAAATTAATATTAAATTTTTGCTCAATATTTTTTATAGTAGATATAACAACTTATGAATTCAGCTTAAATTAAAATATATTTTGCAACCTAGAAATGAATTCCAAAAAACTTTGCGTATTTATTACGAAGATTGCCCAAAAACGGGATTTCTAAATATGAACTTTTCTTCAAGCGGTCTCGAATCCTTAAAAAATGAAAAAAAAGGAAACTCTTTTTTATATAATAAAAGTCTGCATCTTCAAGTATCTCTACCAATTCGTGAAGTTGTTATAGAAAATAATAAATTTACTTGTACTCTCAATAAACATAGTAAATAGAAAAAAATATATTTTCAAAATTCATATAATTTAAAATTTTATTTTTTTAAAAAAATTGTTACGTTCAAATATACAAACTATATTTATATCATAGAAAGCAGAAAAAAGATTTTGACTATAGTTTTAAAGGAAAAAAACTTAATATATAAAAAAAAAAATTGGCTATAAATATGCTGTACATGAAGCGTGAAAAGTAAATATATGGCTTTAAGAAAATCCTGTTAGAATACGAGAGCTGAAGACTTGTATATTTGCCAATTTTATTAGTGTGTTATCTAAAAGCTACTTTTATTAATTCAAAATTATTTTATGTTTTAATAACAGTTAAATTTTTGGCCCTGATCACCTGTTTGACGAACTAAAGACACTTATCTGCCAACTTGAATGCCTCATCCGAGTGGCCATGTTGTCGTAGAGCGCCGAAATTTATGCTTAATCAACTGCACAAGAAAAGCCACTAGTCCAAGAACTATACTGGAGGTCAAGCTGAACCTTATATCAGAGTCAGGCAACAAGAACATCTCCTCCTTTTGGACATATGTCAAAAAGATAAAAAGTCGGGGGATTGCACACTAACACCTCTTCGGGAAGGTAGTATAGTGGCCGAGAGATATGGAGACTAGGCCAAACTTTTCGCAAATCTCTTTGCTACCCAAAACATGCCATTTGTTCGCTTAATTGCTAATGATGCCCAATGTCAGCTGAGCTTACCCCTTCCCGATGTCTATAAACCACTTGAGCTGGTTAATGTTTACGAGGTCCAAGAGGTTGTTAGGGGGGGACCCGGCGTATAAATTTATACTAGTAAAACACACTTTCCTAATACTCTCCTTTACCAATGCTATATTAGAATGCTACCATATATGAGAAACATCTTTGTACCAAGACGGTACCTTTCATAATGATAAAAGATGCAATTTTAGTAGAATACTAAAAGATAATACTATATGTTAGCCAAAAAGCTAGTAAGATAGCATCGAGAATCGATGCGAAAACTTTATCTACGCACTACTCATGACTGGAAACACCGAGAACTATAGCTTTCGGGCTCACTTAGTTGCCTCTGTTAAATTATCTGTATTCAAGTCACTTAGTCTCTAACTCCAAAAAGTCTGAGGATCCGCGGGATCGAAGTAATGGTAAGCGCTTCGATTCTCCATCATCGGAACAGACGACAACTACCAGCTGCCTTCAGCACTCGCAGCCCTATTACTGTTAAAGTTTAACTGTAACCAGGAGCCCAACCTGTAAAGGTGAACCTTCCATAGTACTGTCATTTGTCCAAGGTTTTACCATTTTTAAAAGCAGTTATTTCGAACCGTGCATCAAGCAACTTTAAAGCGCTCCTAGGTGTATGAGGGTTTGATAACTTTAAAACAAAGCAAGGAAGCTATATTCATAATGATTGTGTCTAGTCGAGAAGCGCTGGCCCCGATGGCATTACTAATGAGATGCTGAAGAAAAATGCCATTTACATGAATGCAATACCCATACCTTCTAGTAATTTCTGCAATGGTTCTTTCCTATCCTATGGAAGACGGCGTGATGCTGCCGAAGACACTTAAACTGGGAACAGCATTTAGCGAGTACTCACCCACCAGTCTCCTACCAGCGGTTGGCAAAGGCACTCAACGACCCAGCAGCTCCTCCGCTTAACTGGGCGGACCACTCGCGCTTTTAACTTTAATAAGGCAACAGGCGCTCTCTTGACGTTGAAAAAAACATTTGATCAAGTTTGGCATTAGGATCTATTGCACAAACTGCACTCGTTAAACATTCATCTTGGTCTTTCCCAAGTGATGAAGTCATATCTATAAGGATATGCCGCTGCGTTTGCTTTTTTTTGACGGCAAAGGACCCCCAATGATTACTTCTCTCGCCCTTTTTATTCGTAATTTATATATGCGACGTGCCTTTGCCGTCAAATCCACACACACGAACTCCCTCCAAGCCGATGATATGACCGTTTACTCATCGTTCAAGTCCCCCGCTTAGCTCTACAAGCCTCTATAGCGCTCTTGACGCACTTGGTTTTCATTAATTATTATCTTTAAAAGCGTTTTGGTGTTAACAAGTAACTAATGAACGTTAACGTACGAAATTAAAATCAACAGAGGAACACAATAATAAATATTAATATATTCTTTTTTTTATTTTTTTTTAAATTATTTTTTATTTTCAGTAAAATTTTTATAGCTTTATTTGCATTTAACTGATTAACATACAAAATAATAAATATTATATTATTCTAACTTTCATTATACCTTTCTTTACATTTGCTGCTAACGGGCAACTATTGAAAACAATCGTACAAAACTAATGTTAATAGAGGAACAAAATAATTATTAACATATACTCTAAATTTTCTTCATAAATTTTTTTATTATAATATATTTTTCTAATTTACTTTTTAGCTTTAGTCGTTACTTGGTGTCAACAAGTAACTAATAAATATAAACATACCCAATTAAGACCATAGAGGCACAAATTAATAAATAACCATAAATTTTTTCAATTTTTATGTACCTCAATATTTCTTGTTGGATTTTTTATATTTATAATACATTATTTCATTTTTATTGTTAATTAATAATTAATAGATATACGCTATCGGTTAAATAATTTGTGAAGCATAACTATTGAGACAGATAATCGCTAAGTAATACTGTTCGTCATATATAATATTATTTATTCCATAAAAATTTAAAAAAAAAATTTTTAGGATGGGTTAACGTTATTGGTCACATACGTTTTTAAATTTCTTATTTAATATATTAATAAAAAGCTTATGATGCTGGAAACAGTCGCGAATGACTATTAAAGCTAGCAAATAAATTTTTTTAAAAAAAACATTAATAAACTTTTTAAAATAATCATTATAACTAAAAGTAATATTTAAAACTAAAACTATTGGCCAGCAAAAGTTTTGTTATTTAAGTACGCTTAAAAGAGACTTTACATAGTTAACTAAAATTAACGCTATTGGTTTAAAAAAATTTTATTTCCTATTTAAGTACGCTGAGGCGGTATATTAAAATTAACACTATTGGTCAAAAATCGTTATTATTAATTCTGCAAAAAACTTCTACGTGTTGGCTGAGGAAATGCTTTCATTCGATAAGCAGGAGAGTCGAGTTTTCTTTTTGCTGTGACGCTATCGATATACAACTTCACGACGACGACCAAAAAAATGGTACCAAAAATGACTACAAGAAAAACCAATCAAAATTGTAAATATACTAATAAATAAAGTAAGAAGCAATCAGTAAAGGCATAAATTAACTTACAAATGAGAAGCTCAATAGTTTTATTTTGAAACTGCATATCAATAACCCACACAGCAATTTCTCTATAATAATAATGATAATAATAATAATAATAATAATAATAATAATAATAATAATAATAATAATAATAATAATAATAATAATAATAATAATAATAATAATAATAATAATAATAACAATAATAACAATAATAATAATAATAATAAACCTCATTTGGCTGGGAGATAAAGAAAAATGATTTTCACGTTTTAGTGCACTTAAGCACAACTGAACAGCCTTATTATAATAATAATAATAATAGTAATAATAACACCAAATAATAATATTAATAATGAAAATAATAATATTAGTTTTATTTATTAATAACAATAATAAAGACAATAAAAGTAATTATAACAATAATAATAGCAATAATAATATTTACTTTATCTTTCGGGGAGGAAGGAATAAACTCTGGAAGCCACCAATAAGAAGACTGTTTTAAACTTTTTATATTTTCTCCTGTAGTGCCCGTTAGGCAGTGATTCTTTATTATTATTAATATTAACAAAAATATATATTTCAAAAATATTTTACAAATAATATTAAATAAAAAACTAAATAATAATAATAAATTTCCTATTTTTTAAAATATATAACATATTTATAACAAAAACTAAAAAATATAAAATAATAAAAAGTAGAAATAAATAAGTAATGATATACTATAATAAACCATTATAAGTTCTTTTATAAGTGAAATATTTTTCTCACGAATTTCTTTGATAATACTTCGCATTTTTATCTAATTGGTTATTTATGTTCATTAAAAAATTTCAAACTAGTTTGCTGGGTTTTTTTTAAAGAAAACTTACTTCCATTTGTTCGGTGACCGTTTTAATAATAGACTCGATATCATACGAACCTTTAATAATAATAATAATAATAATAATAATAATAATAATAATAATAATAATAATAATAATAATAATAATAATAATAATAATAATAATAATAATAATAATAGTAATAATAATAATAATAACGAACCTTTTACAACAAAAAAGAGAAAGTCATCTCTTGCTTGAATGGTTATATTTTTCAAAAAAGTTTCTACTAAAAAGTTATAAAAAAAAATAAACAGAATAGAAAGTAAATATAAATATAAATATAATATAAAACAAGCATCACGAAGTTTATATGGAAAACTCTTGGGCGTGATATTATCTATGAAAAGTGTGATCCGCAGAGAATAGCTGATGAAAACAGTGTGTTAATAATTTAAGAACAAAGCGTCTATTAGGATTGGCTACAGGGAAACAAGAGCCGATAGAAATTAGCATGAAAAAATAAAGAAGTCGTTTTTCATGACCGAATCGAATCGAACGGTTTTATAATTTTTAAAATAGCTAATAGAAATGTGCATAATAGCATAAGTATATAGCACAGAGGGCTCTAATAATCTTGTATCACCCATTAATCTCGTTAATTTTTAAAGACCAGTAAAAATAGAAAATAGTTGTTAACCAATAGGTCGCTTGTTGAATACTCGCAAAAAATATATATATTAAAATAATTAACACGTGTCTAAGACGCTTGCTTTCCACCAAATATATAAACCGAGAAATATATACTGAGTTCATATATGCATAATGAGGAAAATACTAACACATAGAATAACGTAATCATAGAGGTGTAATGCCAGGTCATGTGCCATAATACCCCATGGCTACACCATGTGGTCATATCAACTTCTTTTTGGTAATTTTATTACATAAATTTCATATTTTAATAGTAATATAATAGTAATATAATAATAATCTAAAGCACAATATGTCATGCTCGCGGGAAGTTCGAGTTCATTTTCGAATCGAATTTGCAACGACTCAATAATTTTCAACATTTCATGCTGCAGTTCAACCAATGATAGTTCGGTGTTAATTTTTTCGTAATGATCCCATTCACCTTCAAGTTTCTTAAGAAAAAAAACGTAAAATATAAAAAAATATATACATAAAAAATAAAAAAAGTAAATATAAAATATTTGGGTTGAAAAAAAAATTAGACTTTAAAATTTGTACATTTTGTACAAATTTTAAAGTCTAATTTTAAGGGGCACAATTCGAGATAAAATGTAGCAATATAAAGCAATTTAAAATAAACTGTAGAAAGTTATGATTGGATGCAATATACTTTAAATGCACCGCTTTAATCTCTTTTTGCATCAATGGAAATTTGTTTATAAAATTTTCTAATTTGCTGCAAGCTATATATTCGAGAGCAGATTATTATATATGGCGTATTTTAAAAAGAAGGTGAAAAAGGGTATTATAGACTACCTGGTGCCAATTTGAGTTTTATAGTTCAAAATAAGAAAGAGAAAGTATACTTAAACGCTACACGAACGCTGCAGAACCCTCCTACCACGAGGCCTGCCAAGCCACACAGCGGAAGCTTTCAAGCTTACTAATGACAAGAACTAGCCAATCGCTGTGTCATAGCCATAGAGGACTCCCAATCACAGATGAGCACCTACAACTCTGAGCTCTTGGCGAAGGAATTTTAATAACGTAAAAGTTTATATGACAATAAACATTCTATTATTGGCTTCCGTTGCTTTAATCCTGGTTAAATAGTTGACTACTTAACCTGGTACTTATTCAAAAAAAGCTTATGCCGTACTCAAAACAAAAAAATGAAGCAATAAAAAAATATAATAATTATAAGAGTAATACATTCAATAATAACTTGAAGGAGTTGTAAACGCCTTCTTCTTTTTCGTAGCCTTTTACAAGCTAAAGAAAAGATTTAGAAATATATATATTGCATACTATAAAAAAATAAGAAGCAAAATATATGAATAATAAATATATAAGTAAATATATTTAATATAAAATTAAAATATAAAAATATTAAAAAAATAAATGAAATATATATATGATAAAATAATTATAATAAAGTAAATATCAAGTGAATCAATCAATAAATAAAAAAAATAATATACAAAAAAAAAAGTAATAACAAAGAAAACTTCATAACAAATTTTTATATAAAACATATTAAAGAAAGAAATATATAAAATAATATGAAATAAAAATAATACGTATAGATAAAATGTAATACGTGCATTATATTAAGAAAGATAAATAAATAATGTATATAAAAAGTTATATATAAAAGTATATAATAGTAATATAAATATGAGAATATATATAAACATATTAAAGTAACAATAATAATAGTAATAATATATAAAAGGGCTTTAAAATAATATAAAATAAATATAAATAAGTAAAATATAAAAAGGTCATAAAAAAAGATTATAATAATAATAAAGAAATATAAATATAAAAATATTATGAAGTAAAAATAAAATAGATAATAAATATATATAACAAAAATATTTGAAAAGGATATAAATATATTAATATAAAAAGAATAATAAGTAAAAAAATATAAAAAACACATAAAAATTATATGAAATTCCTTATAGTGTATACAAAAAAGTATAAATATATTTATATAAATATAATAAATATAATAAATTCGTAATAAAATTGCAAACATTTATGGAAAAATTCAAATAATCAATAAAAAATGAAAAATATACTCAATAAATAAATATAAATATATAATATATATAAAATAAATAATAAGTATATAAAAATAATACAAACGAGATAAAGAAATAAATATAAATATAAAAAATATATAATAATAATAAGAAAAAAAATATTACATAGAAGTTAAAATTATAAAAATAAAGCAAACGTTTATGAAAACTTTAAATAAAAAATATATAAAAAATATATAATAAGAATAATAAGAAAAAGAATTTATACAAAATATAAAAAATATGCAAACATTTATAAAAATAATTATCATAATAACTATGAAAAATAAATATATTAATATAATAAGTAAATGTAAATATAAAAAATGTATAAAAATGATATGAACGAGAGAAAAATATAAAAATAAACATAAAATATATAATGATAAGAAGAGAAAACTATTATACACAAGTTAAAAATTAAAAAATAAAGCAAACAACTACTAAATTGATTATTATAATAAATATAAATAATTAATATTTATAATAAATCAATACAAACATATAAATAAAGTAATAAATAAAATAAAAACAATATAGAGATAAGAAATATAGAAAATATTCATACAAAATCCAAAAAATAATGCAAACATTTTTTTAAACTAAAAATGCTGCTCATTATTTTTAATGTAATACTACTAAATTTTATTTATTTATTAATCTTATGTTCACTATTATTATTGAAATTTCTAATTTGTTGAATTTATTAGAAGTTTGATTTTTATAACAAATTTAATATTTCTCTTAATATTTCTTGTATATAGCAAAAGTTTTTACAATAAATTGATTATATTTTTTATAAACAGTAAAGTTTTATTTTTATTTTTTAAAAAAGTTATAAATATAAATAATATTCACAAAAACATTAACATAAAAAAAAGATTTATAAAAATATAAAAGTATAATAAATGCAAAATTTTAATGAAATTTTCATTAAAATTAACTTTAAAAATAAAAAAATGCAAAAGTTTTATAATCATAATATTGTATTAATATATACATTATTTAATAGTTATGAATAAGTTTTATTATTAATGCATAATAGTTATCAAATACTTTAACATTATTTTTATTTATTATATTTATATTTTATAACTTTTCTTTATATTTGTTATATATTTATTAGTATTGTTGTATTTTTAATATGTTCTTCTTTTATTATTATTAAATATTTATTTTTTATACTAATTATTTTAACTTAACGTACTGTTGTTCATATTATTGAATAGTTATAAATAATTTATTTTATATTTATTTTTCCATAACTTTTCTTTATTCATTACCTTATTATTGTCAATATATTTATTCTTTTATTATTAATTCATATTTCCATAATTACTATATTTATAAAAGATGTTGTTATTATATTATTTAATATTTATGAATAACTTTTATAATATTATATATCTATTAACTCTTTTTTACAGCTGTTTATTATTACTATCCTTTCATTTTTATTATTATATAATAATTATTCAATATATTATTATTACTTTTATTACTTCATTCCTTGTTTACTTTTTCGTAACTTTTCATTTTATCGATTACTTATTTCATTATAATTATTGATTTATAAAATTCAGAATTATCTTATTTCATTAATTAATTATTTTATTTTATATAAAATAATTATAAAATAATTTCAGTACTAAAAAAAATAAGAAACAAAAAAAAGAAAAATATTTTCACAAAATTATTTGAACAAAAAAAGAAATAAAAATAAAATAAAATGAAAAATTTAAAAAAATTTTCACAAAAATATTTAAAAAAAAAAATTAAAAATCCCATAAATAAAATATTTTAGAAAAATATTTATAAAACACATTTTTAAAGTGAAGTTGAGCCTTTTGCTGAGCCATTGAATTCTGTTCTTTTATAATTTTATGGGGCCGCGCATTATTACTGCTTTTGGATTCGCTCATAAAATGTTTGTACACCTCAACAGAAAAATTTACCGCCTAATAATGTAAAGAAAAATATAATTACTTTTTCCCCAACAAACTGAGTCATTAAGATAATATAATCATCCCTAATAAAATAATGAAAACTTTTTTTGAACAAAAAGAAAACAAGTGCTATCAATAAATAATAATTATAATTAAAAAAATTAGCCTTTTCGCCAACAAAAAAAAGTCACGTGTTATGCACAAGAATTTAAAGTAAGAAAATAGATTAGAAAAATTATGAAGTCAATAAACAGGGCCCGTATATTTTAAATAACAAAAAAAAAGTTAATAGCGCTAAAAAAGGCGCTTCTTTTTGGTAAATAAAAAAAATTCAACAAATGAAGCCACGTGGGTATTAAAAACCATTATTGACCAAAATATAGTGAAGTTAACATTTTTACTAATTAAAAACTATTTATAAAGAGAAAAGTATACAAGTTTATAATAATAAAATAAAAAAAGTGAATAGTTTTCAACTAATTCATTAAAGTTTTATAGATAAAAAATTTTACTATAAAAAAATCAAATATCTTGAACACGTGACACCACCAAAAAGTTATTTAATACTTTTTTTATTGATTTAAAAAAATAACTCTTCAAAGTCAATAAAAAGAAACAGAAATTGCGTAACAAATCACAAAGGACAAACACGAAAGGAGACGTTTTATTGGTTAAGATAAAAAGTTCCTTATTATTATGGATTATTATTATTACTATTATACCGAGGAAAACACTTCTTGCAGCTTTTTTTTATTTAATTCAAATAGGCGAGCACTTTCATAATCAAGTTTTTCTTTAAACTCATTCAATATTTTATTAAATCCTGAAAATAACAATTAATAATAATAATAGTAATAATAAAAGTAAAACCAGGAACGTCACTATATTGACTTAAATGTTCATCAAATAATTGTTCTAAACTTTCTCGCTGAACTTCAAGCTAATAATAATAATTATAATAATAATAATAATAATAATAAAAATAATAGCAATAATAATAATGACTTGAGGTTTTAAAGCGGCCGTCTCCATGGGCAACTTTGCATCGAAATTCTGCACAAATTGATTCAAAAGAGTTTGATATTGCGCACTACAAAAATCTTCTACACTTCTGTAGTATTCTGTTTGAATGCTTCATAATAATAATAATTATAGTAATAATAAGAAAAATAATAAATAATAAGTAATAATAATGAAACGAACATTAAACTTTCTTTTTATTAAAAATACAAGTATATAATTATATAATAATAAAGAACACTAACAGTATAACGTTAATATATAAAAAATTATATTATACAAGTTAATAATAATATAATAAATAAACAGCAAAAGAATATTATTTTATAAATATAAAGTTAATAATTAAAGTTAATAATAATAATAAACACAGAATATTGATATATAAATAATATACACAAGTAATAATAATAAAAATAACTTTTATAAAAGATATTAATTATTTTAAAAATATAAAGTTTATATTAATAAACAAAAAAAAGTTATCTATAAAAAATATATTATCATAATGATAATAAAAATAATTTATATTTAAAAAAGGTTAATAATAATAATAAACATAAATAATATTTATTCATAAAATAAATACACAAGTTAATAATAATAATAACTTTTATAAAAAATTATTAATATTTGAAAAAATAATAATAATTAATAGGAAAAAAGTTCTATAGAAAAATTTACAAGTTAATAATAGTAATTACTCTAAAAAAAAATAATTATTTTTTTATGTTTTAAAAAAGTCAATAATAATAATAACAAAAATAATAACTTGTATAAAATATATTATTTATATATCAAGAAGATAATAAGAATTTTATAAATTAAAAAAATAATATACAAGTAAATAATAATAAGCATTAATAAATTGTTTAATAAAAATATTTATATAAATAAGAAAAAAAATAAATATATAATAATTAATAATAATATTATTATTATTAAATTTTCTTTTAACAACTCTTGTTTCTTTTATATAATAATAATAAAAGCTTTTTATATATAACAAAACCCACTACTAATAAAATAATAAAAATTTTATTATTTTTTTCTTTAGCAAAAATATATAAATATAAACATAAAACTCTGCAATAAAAAATAGTAAAAATATAGAAATAATAAAACTTATATAATAATAAAAGCAATAAATATGATAAATAAGAAAGTAAAAAAAATTTCAATTAATATATAAAACATTACAATAAAAAATAGTAAAAACTTACAAAATAATAATAAATAATATTACTTTAAAAGAAATCTCAAAAAAATATGTATTTTTATAAAAATATTTTTAAAAAACCCTTTCCACGCGTTGTCGATCATTTCTTCTAACTGCGCAGCGACACGTGCCACTTGCTTATCTTCGAGCCCCAACTTTGTTTTCCCGCCCCAGAAAAGAAGTCATTAAATATATTGTAAAACTTTTTTTGGTAATAAGGGAAATTAAATTTTTTTGATTTGACTATAATAAATTTTGTATGCCAGTTTTGTGTAACTACTTCATTTTATTTTTATTGTATCTTTAAATATAATAATAATAATAACAATAATAACACCGTCAAGTCTTTGAGTAAAGACAACGCGTTTTTCTTTACATCATTATTTTTAGTTTCAATGTCGCTCTTCACCATAGGAGGCCGCTGGTTGGAGAATTCAATGTACTTCATATAATAATCAAAGCATTGGTCTTTAGTGATATTGGCTTGTTTTTTTATGAATTGCTTCCAGACGGAAGGAACCTTTTTTTATGATAAAAAAAATAAAACAAAACTTATTATTTAATAATTTTAATAAATATGAAAAAGAAACTTCAGCTAAACGCCCTTCATTGGTCCCTTTTATTAAAAGTTTAAGCAAAGTAACAAATGTTGGCCCGTTCACGTAAGAATAGCTGGGGGGGAAAAAAAGGTAAAATAATGAATAAAAAATATACATTTAATAAAGTTTCGCGATTAGATAAGAGTAGATATATGGGCTCTTTTTATTGATTAATTAATTATATATGGAATAATAGTTGTGCAAACGGGTGAAGGTACACGTGTCAGGGCCCAGTACAAATAAATATACAACTTTAAGTCAATAAGATAATAAGCTCAACAGAAGGTCACTTGCGTTAAAAGTTCACGTGACATGGCTCAGTAAAAATAGTAAAACACAAGTATAAGCCAATGAGAATGAAGGTTTTATAGCCATCTACGTGTCAGGCAGTAATTAAAGTGCCTTACGCGTTTCAAAGAAAAAACAATAAATCACGGAGCAGACGAATAATTTCATTATAAATATTATTAGTCAATGCACTATTAAAAATGAAAGAATAAAAATTGTCAACCGCTAAAAGTCACCAGTGAATTTTATAGAATATAATAGCACGCGATTTAGCTTTTTGTCCAATAAAATACTGGTAATAATGCTACTGGATAAAAAAATTCGTGAATTTTTATGACTAAATGTGACAGGCTTACCAAGAGATGGTGACAAAAAACTCATTAACTTTTAGTAAAAAAAAAAGTCTCATATGTAACCAATCAAATTTGGTAGTTAAAACCGCCAATCAACTTACAAACAATTTACTATACTTAGTAATGACGATGTGCTATTACGATACAACTATTCCAATGATACTACTGAATATTCAAAGTTCTACAATACTACTGGTGCAGTACTCGTCTGTGGAGCTATCTGATTTGACCGAAAGATAAATTCTTTTTTTCTTAGCGGCTAAAAGTTTATAAATATTTTTTTTAAGTGAATTTCTGCCTTCCTTATATTCTGCCGTTAAATCCGAATCTTTCTATATAAAAAATAATAAAATAAAAATAATAGAATTTTATAATAAAATATATAAAAATAACGAATAAAAAAAAAGTAATGAGATCCAATAATAATAAAAATATTGTATAATAATAAATAATAATAAATAAAATTAATAAATAATAATAAAATGTAATAAAAATAAGGAAACATAAGAAAAATTGAATAATAAGAAAATAAAATAGTAATTATTATAAAAATAATATTAATAAAATGAAATAAACAAAAAATTTAATGGAAAAATAATATAAAGAAATAATATAAAATTATAAAAATAAATAACAAAATAAAATAAATAATAATAAAGAAAATTAGAAAATAATATTAATAATGTTATAAAAATAAGAAAACTATTGTTACTAAAATAATAAATATAATATTTATTATAGTAAAGTAAATAAACAATAATTATAATAATAATTTTATGTAAATATAAAATTTAATATATGACAGTTACAATATAATAGTAAGGAAATAATAATAATAAAATATATATATGACTATAAAAGTAATAATAAATATAGATTATATAACAATTGATATATAAAAGTAAATAAATAATAATATAAAAGTATTAATAAATAAATTAATATACAACAATCACAATTTAAAAAAATTAAATATAAATAAAAGATGAATAATAATAATAATAACAGATTTTGATAAGTCGTTAAGCAAATCTTTTTCAACTGCTGGCAAAAATAAAGTGTGACAATCCACCGCAGGAAAAAGCTTAGTCAGCTGTCGTAAATTCTATAATAATAATAATAATAATAATAAAATAAATATAAAAAAATAGTAATATTCCAATAATAAAACTTAATCGAAATAACTATAATAAACCTGTTCTTTTTGAGACTCTAGCAATCTTTTAAGCCATTCTTGCTGTAAATAATAATAATCATAATCATAATCATAATCATAATAATAATAATACATAATAATAATAGTAATAGTAATAGTAATAATAATACGGGAGTTTCGCTTCCCGTTTCCTGGAAAAAATCTTGCACTACCCACAAAAGTGGAGGAAACTTAACCATATTCATATCAAAATCCCCATCTTCTGAGTGTAACTAACAACAATAATAATAACAGAATATATAAAAGTTTTGTCTAAAAAAAACTTTAAGAAAAGTTCAAATTAATAAAAAAAATGCTATACAGATACTTTTTTTAACATAAAAATAAAACCATAATATATTTGTTGGGTACTGTTTTAATTACTCATTTATTTTAGTGATAAAAAAATAAAAAGTGCAAATATTTGTGAAAAGTGATTCTTAAATTTTAGGAAAAAATTTACATTCAGCCATTCAACTTTAAAAGATGCAAAGCAGAAGGCACAGCAAAAAAAAAGAATTACTATTGGCTTCATAAATTATTAAAAAGAACCCGTCGAAATATAAAATGTGCGCAAAATGACACGTCACACTTAAGAGCACGTGCTGGCAAATATTTTTGTATCTTTTTTTAGAAACTACCAAAAAAGTTCCTGACTTTATTTACTTAATTTGGTATTTTTGGTAATAAAATCGCTACGAATTGCTTCCAAAAAACATCACTACTTTATTTGGTATTTTATTAAAAGAACACGTGTTCCTTAACTTTTACTATAATTATCAAATAGTTATCGGTTTATAATAATTTTTCTCCTTATTACTAATATATTAAAAAATATACATAAATTATAGTTATTATGTTTATTATTATTAATATATTAAAAATAAACTTTTTTAAAAGTTATAATAAATTTACTTTTTATTATAAATAAAATATAAAAAAAAATATTAGTTATTATGATTATTTTTATTATAAATAATATTATTTTTAACACTTTTACTATAATCATAAATATTTACTTATTGATATTTATTTTTCTTTTACTTATCATTTTTATAAACAATAAAAATAAAAAAGTTTTACTTTTATTATAATTTTAATAAATATTTAAATAATAATTCTACTTTTCAATATCACAAAAATGAAAATTTAATATTTTCCTCATATTTTCATTATATATAAAAAATATATAAAATTTAGTATTATTAAAACTTTTTAAAAAACTAAAAGAATTAATATTATAAAAAAACTAACACATAAGAAGTAATAAATATAATAATTATAATAAATTTATATTTTTATTATATAAAATATAAAAAATAATAAATATTACTAAATATAAGCATATATAAATAAAAAGTAAGAAAAAATAAAACTATAATAAAAATTATATAAAAAGTAAATAAAAAATTATTATCACGAATTACTTAATACAAATAATACGTATATATTTATATTTTTTAATTTATAAAATATAAAAAATAAGAAATTAAAACTAAATATGAGCAAATATTAAGAAAAAGTATAAAAATATAAAAAATAAAGAAGAGTTATATAAAGTAAATAAAAAATAAATAAAACAAAATACTTGAGTATTGAAAGAAAACATCTGCGCCTGAGTGGTCAATAATTCCAAATAATCGATCGCTGATTGATCAATTATCTTCACAGTATTATAAATCAAAAGCGACGAAAGTAAAGCAGAAACAGCGAAGATTTGACTATCGTAGTGCTGACTTGCTTGATTGGAGTTGAAGCCTTCAGAATCCTTTTTATATGATTTTGTTAGAAAATAAATAATATTTATTATGGAAAACATAAATAAATAATATATTTTGTGTAGTAAAATATTACTATAAAGATACTAAACTATAATTTATATAAAATTTAAAAAAAATAATAATATACCAAATAAAAAAAGTATAACAAAAATAGTATTTGAATTTTATAAAAATAATATTTTTTTGTAAAGTAAAATATTTTTCAAATGTCAAAAAAAATTAATATACATGAATAATACTAATATAAACTTTTTTTATAGGAAATATAAAAAATTAATAAAAATATAAAAAGGTAAAGAAAAGCAGAAAAAGTAATAAAAAATAAATATTCCAAATTTAATTAATAGATTTTTAAATAAATGAAAATGTTAGAAAAGATTTGAATTCAAATTAAAGCCCTCAAAAATCTGATTATATATTAAATAAAACTTCAAAAAAAATAAGGGAATAATAATAGTAGTAAATATTTGGTTGGAACTATAAAAAATATTTTTTTAAGGTAAAATTAAAACTAAATTTAAAAAAAGTAAAAAAAGTAAACTAGTAATATAACGTTGATAAAATATTACAAAACTTATTATAAATTTCATATATTATAATAAATTATTAAAGAATTTAAAAAAATGTAAATGTAAAAAATCTAATAAATAATAAAAAAAAAATATTAATATATAAAATTTATGTATAATTAAAGATAATATTAAAAATAAAATTATCATAAAAAATAAATTGTAGAACAAATCATAAGTTTTTTTTTAGAAAAAAATTTTAAATATAATAAATTTATTCAGTTTTTGTAAAATTTTAAAAAAGTTCGTGAAAAAATTATAATAATTAAAATAAAAAAACCAAGAATTTAAAAAAATTAATAAAAGTAAGTAAATTAGTCGTTAATAAAAAAAATCCATAAATTTTATAATAATTAATCAATTAAATAAAATTTAATCAAATTTTTTTTAAAAAAGTATTTTAAATGAAGAATTATTATACAGAAATAATAAATTTTAATAGTAATAAGTAAACTATTCTTTTTAAAAAAATATTAGTAACAATAATAAATTTAATTAATTTTTTGTTTAAAAATAATTATTATAAATTTAATGTTATTAATAAAATTAATAAAAAATAAAACAGAAACGATTTATATAAAAATTACATTAGTAATAATAATAAGTTTATTACATAAATTAAAAAATAAAAAAGATTTTTAACTTAATAATAACTATTATTAAAAATTAATTAAATTATTATATTAAATTTCTAAATTGATTTAACAAATTGATAGGAAATAATACAGAACTGATTTACATAATAAAACTAGTAGTAAAAATAATAATTTTATTAAATTAATTTATAAATTATAATTAAAAATAATAATTATTAAAAAAAATTGTATTATTATAGTAAGATATAAATTTATTAAAAAAATTAATAAAAAAATAAAAAAGAAATGCTTTTTAAAAATATATAATTAGTGATAAGTTTATTAAATAAATTAAAAATTATAATTAAGCTCTTATTACAAAATTATTTATTATTGTAAATTAAACAAATTATTAAAATAATAAATTTATAAAGAAAGTAAATTATAAAACAGAAATTATATTTCTCATAAATAAAATATTAGTAATAATAATAAGTTTACTAAATAAATTAAATATTCTGGGTAGATTCCAAATATAATGTTAATAAATATATACTAATTAAACTATTTTTTAATAAAATATTTATTTATCAAAAAATAATTAATAAAATAAAACAGAAGCATTTAACATAAAATTTTCTTAAAGAATATTAAAATACATATAAATAATAATAATAAATCATTAAAATTGAAATTATGTTAAGATCTTTGAGTTAATATTAATTACTAAAAACTAATAAAAAAAAATAAAATAAAAAAAATAACGCAAAATAAAAATAAAGAATTATTAGTAAAAAAAATTTTTATAATAAAAAAATAAATATATACAATAATAATTATTACTTAACTTACTATAAATAATTGAAATTTTATAATAAACCACAACAAATTAAAAAAAATATTAACAAGAAAATGTATTTAATAATAATAAAATTATTATATAAACTTAGAATTATAGTAAAATTTTTAAATTATAATTAATTTCTATAAATTAATAAAATGGCTATATTAAATTTTGACAATAAATTTTATTTTTATTATTTTTTAAAAAAATCAATCTAACAAGAAATAAAACAGAAGCATTTGTTCCATCTTTTAAAGTGCGAATTTTTCCGCCGCACAACCAAATTCCCATCGTTTCTGGATCTACGTGAGAACCTACTTGAAAACCTTTAAAAGAAAAAAATAGTTACAAGTTTTAAGTAAATATTTAAGAAGCACACCTTTTGTATTATCTTCGGCTAATTGATTTAAAAGAAAAGACTTCCCCGAATTGTATGGACCCACCACAGCAATTATAGCTAAAGGCTCTTTAATTTGTAATAAATGCTCTAAATTTTTTTCAATAACTTCTAAACCAGCTTTTATAAAATCTTTTAATTAATAATAAAAAATATTAAATCTAATGTTTACTGTGCGAGGCGTTGGGCTTTACGATTTGAATTGGCTTTTCGAAAAAATAATTACGAGCGAAGAGTATCGTGAATTGCAAAAAAAAAATTAACACAGCAAAGTTTATATACATTTTCAAAAAACTTATCTTTGTTAGTTTTCAAAAAGTTATAAAGTTATAACATCTAATTTTTTTAAGCACGTGGCGAGTACAAAAAAACTAATGACGAGGAACTTTCACAATCCTGATAACCATTTATAATTTTTTTTTTTAACCGAAGGAGTTCAACTTACGCAACAAATAAATATACTTCCTTAAAAATAGTTATAACAAGTTATTAATTTATAAAGACTAGTAAAAAAGTTTTTTTTGGTTATGTGAAAAGTTTACTATAAATTCTTTGCTAAAAATATTACCAACTGTGATAGATGTTATTTGTAAATAGTTCATTTACGCATTCACACATATACGATATATTTTACTTGAGAATAGGAAGTTTTACAACTTATTATCTAAGAGAGACTAATAAAAAATTTATTTGTTATATATTTTTATTTATAGCCTAAAATATTAGTTACCATTAAAGATATCATCCATAAGCAGTTCCATTCCACATATACATAATATATTTCACTAGATGAAGTATTACTAGTTGTTAACGTATAGAGGCTATTAAGAAATAAATTGTTATATGAAAAATTTTTTTTAAAAAAATTGCTTGGAGTATTAATCAGTTATTAAAGGTATTTATTATTAGTTAATTTACGAATCTCACTTTTATTAATAAATGACTTTTCCTGGTGCCCCTTCGAAGTTAACAACTTTAAAAACTTGGACACTCAGTGAGGAATAATCGCATTAAACTCCTGTCATTTGCATGTTGCATCCAGATTCCCACAGGGTAGAGCGCAGTACGCGATGGTTTCCTTGGTCAGGCTCTTGGAACTTTGAATTCTCAGAATGGGAGGTCGACGTTTTTGATCAAATATTATTATATATGGGTCCCACCTTCCTATCGCGTAGATCCTACGATTAATTAATAGCGCTGTATAAAAATAACAGTAATAGGTGGAACAGGTTCTAGTAGACTGTCTCGCACTTTTTTGTAAAAATGAAAGCTATTTTTAGGGCTCCATTTATAGACATATATATTGTCCTCAGAGAAACTTCCTAAAACCTATCACTTTTATATATGGTAACTTTAGTAACCCCGAATGCAAGTCAAAAAAAAATTTACCACAACCAAAAAATGTTTTTGCTTCCTCTTTTTCCAATTGTTCCTTCAATGCCTCTCTAAGCTGAAATTTTTACTTGGAGGGGGTTTAGGTAACATAGTGTTAGGAATTGAGTTATTCTCCTTGAAAACTAATAGCTTTAGTAAAGCTTTTCTGTTTTACGAGGAACAATATATGTTGTGATAATTTCGAACATGGAGTCCATTGTGTTATTAAAAATAAGTTTGCGAAAATTTTTCCATTACAAAGAATGAAAAGCTATTAATATTCATATTTTCGAAGATTAAGCAGTCTAATTATTAGGTTAGGGCTTAGGAATTAAGGGGAAAATTTTAAAATATAAATGTCTTTGAGTATAACACAAAACAGAGACCGCACTCCCTTTAGAGTGGGTTTCTTCATCAGTGGTTATCTTCTGCTATACTCAAAAGAGCCTGAAACAGTGTTTTTCGGTGGTTGAATTTTTAGTCTAACCACTTAAAATTCACTGTTTTTGATACTTTTTACAAGGAACTAAGTGTCAACAAGATTTACTAAGATTTAGGGTCAAAAAACAAATATTTTAAGTGATGGACTTTTTGTAAGCTGTTATTAATCTGGATAATGATATTCTTTCTAACTCTTTTACTCAAAGAATATAGAGTAGGAGTATCTTCTTGACTCCTTTTGGGCCATAAACGGACTTAAAAAGCACTTTTATAAAGAGACGTTGGTATTCTTAAACACATTGTAATTATCTGAGGAGGTATTTTTTAAGCTTCCTAAAACAGTCTTAAAGGCGCGGATAATTTAGGGTTTTAAATACTTCCTGGGATAACCCCTTTTCAGAATTCCATCATAAAGATTCTTTGGGAGTACCGAAAAAATCCCCTTGATGCGTATACAGGTGCTTATACCTGCGGTCATGCCGATAAGCCCTTTTAGTGCGCTAGGAGGATGGGCACTTTTGAAGGCTGTATAAAGATATAAACCAAGTTTCTTTTAATGGATTCTGCAAATAAGTGTATTGGCTTCTTTCTCTAAAAACAAATCTAAAAATGAGACATAATATTGTCTTTGTTTATATCCTCCAACTTGTTAAATTAGTTTTAAAGAATAGGCCTTCGCAACTATAGCATTTATTCTTTTCCTCAGAACAATTTCATCTCGATGTTGATAACGATGTTTCTTAATTAGGTTCTCATTTATTAAAACTATATTACATTAATCTCTAAAAAATATTTTATAAGAATATCTTTTTCTTTTGGGGAAATGCGTGCGCATGCATATATTTAATAGATGAATTTGCAAAAATTGCAGCGAACTGTGAAGAAACTGTAGACAAGATACAGATTAATCGCAAGATCTACGCGATAGAAGAGTTCAAAACCTACAATTAAACTATGCCACTCTACCAAAGAAAGCCTCCAATGTCGTGGGAAAAATCTATTAGCTCAAAAAGTTCCAGAGTTGAAAGAGTTTGTTTGAACTTTTTTTAAAAAACAAAAGGAAATAATGGGAAATTTTACGAAAGGGTTGGTCGCAATGAAAGTGGAGGTTACTTTGAAAAGAGAAGATAAAAATACGTTGGAGGATCTATTCAAGTATATACGCCCCTTAGTGTCTCCTGACAAGCTGGGCATACTTGATGAAGTCAGTAAGCCGGTGACCCAAGTAGATTTAGAGGCTAATCTACAGCGCTGTATAAAATAACAGTAAAAGAAGAAGAAATAGACTGTACCACACACGCTCTTAATAATTAAAGCTATCTACGAGCGTCTATTACAGACATTTGCTTTAAATCTACCACTCCTGTATATGGTAGCTTTTAAAGATTTCTCATTAAATTATAGGTTTAAAAAACCTTCCCAATTGCTCACTAATGAGTATAATGGCAAGAGGTATTTCGAAGAATTCGGTTTTTAAATTATGTTAACATGTAACTTCATTACACTATTTATGAATATATTTGACTTTAACCAGTTGTCATCGTGAAGTCACTCTTAAGCTGAAGAAACGTATGATGAAAAGAAGGTCCGTTTTATGTTCATGAGTAAAGTGCACGAGTTTTGTAACGTTACAAAACACTAAGATGGAACAACACAACAACTTGTGAATCGACCTAACCACCTTTCGGATAATATTGAGGAAAAGTGTAGAGTTTGAAAACTAGCTTCTTGCGTTAAGGAAATAAGTGATCATAAAAATTACGATTTTTCTTTCACCAGATTAGATGAGAATGTGTTTCTTGAACATTATTAGAGCAGTAATCCCAACTGCATTGCCTGTTAATACGCTTAACGCACTACTACAGGTAAAAAGCAGGAATAAAGTTGAAGTTGAATGTTTTTCGTTTCATATGAAAGATTAAAATTTTTAAAGCAAATTTTTACATAAGCGAGGTCAACTTTGGAGTTCACAGTGCCCTTTCTATTAAAGAAGTATTGTAATGTTGTGGAAAACTTGAGCGCTTCGAGGCAAACTGCAGTCTTAATAACGACCAAGCACAAACCTTTTTACGGTAAGTAAGTGTAATGAGTAAGGTTCTAATGTTTATTTTAGAGAAAACAAATTTTTTATTTAGAAAATTTTATTGTGAGCATAAGGTAACGTTAAAGATGGACTATACTTTTTTTTACCGGCAATGCGAACAACAACCCTTACATGCGGACAACAACATCCTATTACATTGTTGTGACGGGTGTTCTGGAAAAGCGCAAGAGGTTCGGTCTCACAACCCATTTTCATTTAAAAAAGATTTGTCCGAAGTTATATCAAAAATGAAGGATATGAGATACGCTTGAGATGTGAAATGATGAAAAAGAAAATTAACAAGTTCAGCGATGCTCACATTAGTTAGAAAGCTGGACAATAAATATATATTGACACTAAACTGGGAATTACTTCACATAAGAGTTCAATATAGTTGTTGGAACTTAAACATATAATTTACTAAGAACCTTAAAATTACAGAAAAAATATCTCACAGCTATTTTAAAAGAAATAAAGATAGAGAATTTGTAAACTACAGCTATAAGCAGGACATTCAGTACATGCTAAGTGAAAGAAGCATTTAGAGCTTTTCTGACATGACCCGGAGTATATAGAACAATTTAAGTTTTTTTAAAAATTATTGGAGCGAGGCTCTCCTTTACGAAGTCTAATTATTAATAAACCGCAAAGAAGGAAAAACAACTCACGCCTAATTAAATTTTAATTCAGCTCCCGACTTCATTAAGACTGAAATTGAACTATTTCAAATTATAAAAATAACGGTTTAAAAGCTTGTTCGTTCAGGGACCGATATATATCTTGTGATACAAGGCATATTAACATATATCAGATAGCGGAATATAAGTTTTAATTGGATCTCGTTTATTACATTATATATATACAAAATCTTAATAAACTATTTTATAAAATATTTTTATTTTATTTTAAAAATTAAGTTAGTTATCAGGTACCTATCAATATTATTGGGCTATTATTAACAAGGCTTACAAGCATGCTACTATAGGAATGTTAGATTTGATAAGATGCCGTACACAAATTACTTGACTACAAAGTCTCATAATTTAAACTAAAAAAGTAAATCGCAAGATCGTGCTTAAAGGCGTCCTTTTTTAAATTAATAGCTTTGACAGAAAACGAAAATAATAACATAGTATAACCTCAGGGAAATTTTAAACTACACGTAATATTTTTTCATTTCTTATAAACACGGAAGACTACATCTATCCAACCACTCATACAATTCTGAATTTAAATAAGACAATTTAAATTTTACGGAAAACAGACTCAATAACGCAGACGATAATCGTTCCAATTACTTTAACGAAGTTAGAGTATTTTAGGTAAATAAAACAATGGCTTACTCATAGGGAT